ATGACTGTCTAGTGTAGATTTTCTACTTACAAAAACAAAATTTTGAAAATAATGAGGAGATGTGGCAATTTACACTATATTAAATTCTCTACTATGTCATGACACTTCCTAGGACCTAAATCCACCAGGCAGCTTATTTTTACTCCATAAAAGAGAATTAATATGCCACGAATTCACCTAAGTTAACTTTAATTGCTTGAGATTATTTAAAATCTAGCATAGGGGATCTTGATCGCTTTCACTTTCCAGATAGGACTTTATGACCTATTATATAAACTTCTTTTTCTGTTACTATGATTGATTAGCTTTCATTCCTACCAATAGTGAAGCATATAGGAGTGTTTGATATCCCAGTTATGTATTTGCTGCCTTGAAAGTTATGTCTTTTTCCTTTTGCTTTTTTTCCCAGGTCTATCTTTTTATTAGAGTTGCTTTCAGTTTTTTAATCATTCTTGAATATTATAGGCCAGTTTGTTCTATTGTTACTTCTGATATTAGTTTGATCTAGTTGTCCTGAATGCAGTTCAATATATGTTGTTTCAAGGTAAACTTTCTCTTTGCTATAATTACTACTCTCTGTTTTGGTCACTTCTTTGTCATGTATTGTATCCTTCCTAAAGTGCTCTTTAGTATTTCAGCTAAGTTTGTGACCATGTATAGATATTTGTTATCTCAGGGCCTTGTGCAAATCTTCTGCTATTGTGAAACAGACTATTGCATATCCTCTTTATTTTAAAGTAAAAGAGTTTCTTGATATGTAAAATATTTTGGTTTCTGTATGTTGCATTGCCCTTGCTATAAGACTTGTAAAGATATTGTGTATACCATATAGTCGTAAGGATTGGCTATTATAGTTTTTGAGAATAGCAGCAACTTTATAGTTGTCTGGTTTATGTTGAGTGAAAATTGCCCTGAAGGTATCTACTTTGATATGAATTAACCATCTATTTTCCAAGTCTTGCAATTTGAAATGAGCTGTACTTTGATTCTTCTTTGAGAGCGAGAGTGGTTATAAATATAAATACTTGAAACCTTTCCATATTTTTATAAGGCAGCCTTAATTTCTTGACGTATATAACAGTGATCAAGATCTATCAATATGATAACCACTGTCTTGTTTTCTTCTTCTGCTATCTTTTGTTTAAAGAATTTCCTTTCTGATAGTGAATATGAAGCTTCCCATTTCTCTATCTGTATAGGTATCAAGATAAAGTTTTCTCCTTCTTTCTTATTAATCTTCTCTATACATTGTAAGGCATCTTTAATTTCTTTAAAGGTAAAAATTGTCCAGGTGTTACCATTGAGAAAGTCTTTTTTGAATGGTAGTATATCTTTAGGTAGACTCAAGGCACCTTGAAAATAGGCTAAATGTTCTTTTTCTGTATCTATTGATATTCTGGAGGTAAAGATTTCAATCTTGAATTCTTCTTTCTTGGTGATATGAAATAGATTAAACTGAATGACTTGGATCTGTTTTGTGTATTGTAAGAGATTTGTTCTATTATGTTTTTTCCTTCAACTCTTTTCTGGATGTTTAGTATTTCAAGTTCTTTCTCTAGTTTTTTCTCCATATCTTTATCATCTATTTCAACTTCGATGTTATTTAAAATTTCAATATCAATTGTTGATTGAACTTCCATATTCTTATTTCAGGTGATGTTCTCATCTAAAGTTGAAGTCTGATTTTTTCTTCCAAGAAGGATGCCATAAGGTCTTCTTCTCTTTTTTGACCTTGTGTCCACAAGTATAGGATATTTGTTTTAAGGACCTCTACTTTAATAAATGTAGTTGAATCTACAATTAAAATTTTTGTGAGAATACTATTAAGTATTAAGTATTCTGTTGGTCTTGGTATCTAATTAAATTTGTTTTGTGTAGTGAGAGTATTGAAGATGATTTGGATAGCCCATGTTTCTTTCCTTTGATCATGTTTTTCAGCTATTCTGACTATTGTATCGAGGATGTGTAGCTCTCTTTTCTTAGCAATTTGCATAATTCTTCATTTCTTTGTTATATTGGTTACGTGTAAAGGAGAATAAAATGTTGATTCATTGTTTTGTTTTTCTTTAATTTGTTTACTCATTTATATTTAGCAAGGTATGTATGGTTAATTGTTTGTTGACTTGTTTGATGTCTTAATTACTTTAATGAGTTATTGATTCTTTCTGTTTAGTTTTGTTTATTTATCAGATTTAATGTTTATTTTCGTTATTATGAAAAATAGGTCATTTATATGTAGACACTTGATAAACTTTGCTATGTTAGTATAATATTGAATTGTTTAACATGTACGCATTCACGTAACTTGGTTTAATATTTAGACAGATATGTATAGAATCAGAATACTCTACTGTTTAGTCCTTAGGAGTCTTTAATGTTTTTCTGGGTTTTATAAACTTTGGGTTTTTCCTGATTTATCGATAGGAACTATTGTTTGTAAAGTTCCTTCTAGTGCCTAGAAAGGTGTAAATCAACATTGGCCTGATTAGAAGTTTGGGATGTTGACATTGGGCTCTCCTAAGCTTACTGTGAATCAGCTTGTAAATGTGTTTTCCTTCCCTTGTAAAGTAAAGCTATTATAATGCTGTACTGACAAAACTTCTTTTAATCAATAAAATGATCTCTTGGGGGAATGGTTGAATATTCTAGGTTGTTAATAAATCTTGAATCTTTGAGAAATAAGGTGTTTTTTAAGCTGGCTTCTCTTTTTCAAGAAAATTATTAAAAAAAGAAATTTTAAAAAAAAAGGGATTAGCAGAAAGAGTTTTTTTTAATAGTTTTATTAATTGCATAATTGTATTATAAAATATTTAAAATATAAACTTATAAAAAATATAATGTTTTTATTTTTTATTAATATTAAGAAGAATTTATTTTAGATGATAATTTTTGTATTTTAAAAAATTTATTTTAGAATTTTTACTATTTAATTATAATTTATAAATATTTTATTAATAATTTTTATAAATATAATATATTTAAATTTGAGTTGAGATTTTAATATTCAATATAAATATATAGAAATTCCAAGATTTTTTTTTAGTTTATTAAATAATAACTTGAAACGTTATTCTAAATTAGATAAGGTATTTTAATTGAAATTTCTTATATAGTTATCTTAAAAAAGTCGGTGTTTTAATTAAAAATGTTAAATTTTAATCATTAATACATTAGGATACTTGAATAATCTTCTTTATTAATCAAGATAATTGTTTTTATTTTCAACGGTTGTATTTTAATGTTTTACATTATTTAAAACTTTTTTTATTAATTATTATATAATTTATAATAGATCTAAAATAGCATTTTTATAGTAAAAGTTTAAAAAATAGAAGATAAAATCAAAAATAATATAATTATTAAGATAATTCTATAATTTTTATAGGTTTAAACCATCATTTAAAAAACAAAACCACAATAAATGAACTTCGACTTTTGCGAGCCGCCGCGTATTATAACCTTAAAGTCTTATTTTTTGTATAAAATTTATTTTAAATTTAATTTTTTGACTATTTAAGTTTTATTATAATAGAATAAAATTTTTATATCAAAACAAATCAAGTGTTATCATAATAAGTTTTGTTTATGTCTGAAAATAAAATGTTGGATTTATAGATGACAACTCTAAAATTTAAATATACTGAATGTTGTAAAGAAAAATCATAATCTTTTGGATTACGTGATAATTCATAAAATTGAAGGAATTCCAGCTACTGTATTGAGCCTTCGCGCACATTTCGAGTCATATCATTAAAACTAGGTAGAATTAATGGATTATAAATTATGACAAGGATTATTACTTTGTGTGATAAAGGGCATGGGTTCGAAAATTTTGCTTTTACTTGATCTACAGTATATTTCAGATAGTCAAAAGCCGTTATTTTGATATTTCTAAAAATGGTTTTCAGTATTAAACAGATTTGCAATATATAATTAATTAGTTAGGTAAAAAAGGGAGAAATGAAAAGAGAGAGGAGAAAAAAGAAAGGAGAACAGCCCATTATCAATAATTGTACACCATTTTCATTCTATATGACTCCCCTTCTTCAAATTATTATTATTATTATTATTATTATTATTATTATTATTATTTACCCTAATTGTCAATATTTTCACAACCGTAGCTTATTCCGATTTATTGAAACTCTCTACATCCCTTCCAATATGTAATTTACACTTATCTAAGGTGAAAAAATATTCGTAGATTATTTAGATCCCTCTTATTTTATTAGGTTGAATAGTTCATTCTAATTAACGGTGTAACATAAGAAAAATTTAAACCAATTATCAACTAACAACACTTCAGTGCTACAGTTTCTTTTATAATCCAATTACGTGAAACCCAGCCTAGAATATGTTCGTAGCTTCAATCTAACTTAAATCAATCGCCTCATTACAACTTTATTACGCACGAGTTTGTTACCTTGACATCGAGTTCTAAAATACTTTATTACTCTAAAAATGTCGCTTGCACAATAATGTCCTGTTTGTTGTCAGTTCTAAAAAACTCCAACATTGTTAAAAGTACATATGTTGTTAGAAAAAAAAAATGTTGAAACATAAATATACACGCAATCGGATTCATTATTCACCACTGCCATTTCACCTAGACTATGTCACCATATTAACGCGAAAAATGGGATGCTAACCAACCATCAGCGCATATAAATAATCTACCAAATCTCTTACATCAATGCTCATCATAATGGACTATCGTTCATTTCGAGCGCGACCAACTAATATCGATACAGATTTCGTTGAATTGACGATTAACACAGTTTAAGTTAATTCACATTGCACGTTGACTCAACGCACACTTAGAAAAGCGGACTGTCAAATAATAGATATCAATTATCATCAAGTTAAGCACCATTGATACATCGAATCAATGGAATTCTTATTAAATATATTTACAAGACGATAATAGGCAAATGTATTAATAAATTAAAGTCCATTCGTACCTCGTCGTCCGGTAACAGTAGACATGAAAGAATTTGTCATTAGAAAATTCTTCTTTCTCCTTGATACCTTAGCAGATGCTCTTGTGCCTAAAAATAATAACGAATTAATTATGAAAAATAATGATGAGACCGAGACTTTATGACAGATAGCCGTGAGTTTCTCATTACCTCCGATAAAGTCTTGGGAGATAATATTGGTAGCCTTGATTCCTCTTGTGGAACAATTCCATATCTAACGGGCGGATCCTAAATTATCAGAGTCACGAGAATATGGTAGTTCGAACTGCTATCCAAATTAATCTCAAGAATATAGTGTAACATGATAGTAATGAGAACTCTCAAGTCACAAATATTTACCAGGATTGGTGGGCATAAATCAACAGGCAAATATCTTCCGTGATTCTGATAAAATATATCTCTCTGCTGTGCCTCCTCTACCAATCATTCGCCAAATTCAAACGATCAGAAAAGGATGACTCAATATGAAGGGAAACAGTAAATCTTGCATATCAAGTTGAACACAAACCATGATAAAACCTTTCTAGTTTGGCCAAATATTCTTCGGCAATTTTTTTATGCTGCTCCTTAACCCCGTGACGCCGATCTATTTCCACTATCATGTAATCGTAGGCCTTTGAAAATTCTTCATACCTAGAATTATAGAATGATACTTTGGAACACATGTTTGACCTTAATAAATCGACGAAAAGAAATTTACCATAGATCCAAATTCAATAGCTCCTCTAGCAATCGATCCAAAACCGCCGAACCTCTCTCAAAATCTGCCTGTTAATTATGAATTTAATTAAGATCTCATGAATTTAAATGACATATGTAATTCATGTTTGCAAAAAAAAAAAAAAAAAAAAATCCAATTATTTACTTGTAATTCTTTCATTGTGTTCGCATAGTTTTCCATATGACTCCCGAAGCCATCTACCTCGGTGAATAGTTTATTTGCATCTTCGTAAGATGACTTATAAATATGTTTTCGTACACGAACTTCTTCGCTTTATTTTTTAATTTAATGGTGACTCGTTATTAGCTTATTCGCGATAATGATAATAATTTCGACTTGAATTTGGAATAATCGGGATTTCATACCTGATTGACTCAATAAACTGAACATCTTCCTTCAATTTTTTAACAATGGACGGAATTATATGATTATCTTCTTCCAGAACTAATAATAATAACAAATATATAATGTTGAAAAATCATTTAGCTTGTTCACGAATGTACACAACCACCCACCGGAAATATCTAACAATGATTCGGCGTCAGATTGCGTTTGGAATGATCTAAGTATTGATAAAGAATTATTTAACAAAAGATATCGAAAATTTTTTTTTTAGGAATCGCACATACTTCAATGCAGTTGTAGCTTGATCATAATGTCTTGCCAATGATTCCAACGTCTCTGCCATGGAATGAGTCACCTGTTCAAGAGTGTCAAATTTTTTGTGAGAGAAATCTACACCCGATTCCTCGAGTGAAATGTTGTTGCTCATGAGCATGTCATCTAATCTTTTTAATTCAGCATCAATATTTTCAATCATCTTGGAGCTCATGTTATGACAATGCTGTTACATAGAATGACGCATATATCAACAAGTGCAAGTAATAACGCATTGCGCACCAACACACGAATAAGAAAATACCTTGATGACCGCAACTTCTTCCTGCGTCTTTATCTTTAGCTCTTGAACACCTTGTTCCTCCACATAATCATACAAAGAAGCCTTTTCTTCAACGCCCAACGTATTACTACTATTCACCCTGGACATTTGTTCTATTGCGATGGCGTTCTCTCGGATAACAGGGTCCACATATTTCACACGTAATCCTTCTAATGTCGAGTTTAACCTTTCGACCAACGTTGAAAATTCCTGTTCCTTGCTCTATAATTTAGATACACGAAATAAACAACATAATATATATCATGTATAATGATGACATAATTAATTGTGATGTCGTTAAATGAGAGATTGAAATGTACGGGCAACATGAAAAATTAATCAATTTTACCGACAGCATGAAATTGCTGTAAAATTCCATTTTGTTTTGCCGCAAATTCTCTAAACCTGTCAATAACCTGATCGATCAATGTAAAAGAATGTAAACAAAATGATGACAAGTCAAGCCAAGAGTACCGATCGCCTTCTCTAAAACAATTATGTGGTATAAAAAAAAAAAATCACCTGAATTTGCCCCTCTAATTCTCCCCACAAGAACCTAAGTTTGGGATACAGCTTCTCAATACTTTCTACGTCGTTCCTGCACTCCTTTGCGAGACCATCGGCTTTGGAGCACAATATTCCTCCCTGTTGTAACGTTTTCTGGGAAATCGAAGCAATATTAATTAATTGTTGCTCCATTATTCATGCGTCGTTTGAATGAGTGAGTTCAACATTCAATAGTGCGATACGTAAGCCATTTTATACTGCGTTGGTGATGATCACGGCGATCGGATTATTTTTTTGTAACACTAATACGCACAATAGCATTAGATTCTAAATTTCAAAGATACTGAATCAAATCACAACCTCTTTATCAAACATTATTGAGATAAGCCTTTTGACCGAGCATCAAGCTCTTTTTCCCGGGATTCATTTATCAAATAAAATGTATGCTATGCTAATAATAGACGCGACACGTAACTTGTTCAGGCGACAAATCTTTTTAGAATTTTCATCCATGATAATATACAGTATACAGTATGTGCAAAAATTCTTTATTAACTTACTGTACATAACGTATTAATATCTTTATTAACTTACCGTACATAACGTGGTATTAATATATAATATTTGTACAATATGAGTAATTATTTTCGAAGGCAAATGCAAAAAAATAGGGATTAAAATTTGTATATAATAATTTTTTTGCTTTCAAAAATAATTATCCATATAAAAAATATACAGTATTTCGAATTAAAACAATTTAGCATGATTAAATTATTTCTTTTTTTGGAAATATTGAATAATGGGATTTTTTTAATCCGCATTAATTAAATATAAGGAGTCCATGAAATTAAACAAAATAAAGTCTTAACTAGATACATTAAGTCAGATTTAAGGAACTTTCCTAATAGATTGATACTATAACTTTTATCTTTTATAATCATTTTCAATAATTTGTTACTATTGCTAAAAACAATAAATTATTAAATTAATGAATTGAAAAAAGAAAAGAAACAATTCAAGACTTTTTTAAAAGGTTTTATTTAAATTGATAATCTTTTCTCAAAAGAAATCTATTTGATTAAAACCTTCTTTTTTACTTTAAAATATTATATCTTTAAAGTATATTTCAAAAAAATTTATTTGATTGTAATAAAAAAATATTTTCAAAAACTTGTTCAATTAAAATTGAAATAAATAATTTAATAAGAAATAAAAGTCAATATATTATACTGTATATTATACTATTTTTCTTGGGAATATATTTAATTAAAGAAAAAAATTTTTATAAATTTTTTTTCTATTACTAATAATATTATAAATATATAATTGTAATTAATAAAAACTTATTTATATTTTAAAATTAATTTTTTTTTTAAACAAGTTGACTCAGCCTTACTTTATTTGGATTAAATAGAGATGTACATATGTTGTTTCTGCTATAACTACATACTGTATGTTAACCAAATTCAGTTCAATAGAAATACTTCATCTCATGGCTTGTTGTCACTCTAAATGGGAAGTTAACCTGCCAAGGCTGCGATAGTACTATATAA